CCAATGTTTAATTGTTTTCACTCTGAAAAAAATGCATGCCTTATCTGGAGTCTGAAATTTTCTAGCTTCAATTTCCAGCAGTTGCTTCTTGTTATTTCTTTGTCTCCTAAATTGAGAAGCTTTCTATTATCAAGTTTCAGTTCCCCCCATGTATACTTATAGACTGTCACCTTTTAACCCACTCTTTGACAAGCTAACCCAATAGAGCTCCTTGTGTCTTTCCCTCTAAGACATATTTTCTATTCTCCTGGCTCTTTTCTGAATCTTTTCCAGTTCAACAACATTGTTCTTGAGTTGTGGGCACCAGGGCTGGACAGAGCATTATACCAGTGGTCAGGATATCTCATGCCTAGGGCCACATGGGATTCGCAAGCAGAAGAAGTGTCCCTGCTCCCAAACCCCCTGAGATGGCTCATCATATAGCCATCCTCAGAGCACATCTGACACACATGGACCACACCAAAGCCAGGGAGGGTCTACATGTCTTCGCTGGCCAAGTTCATGGACGACACCACATTATGGGGGAGCGTGGTCACGCTTGAAGATAGGCTACAGTTACAGGTGGACCTAGACAGGCTGGTAAGTCGGGCAGGTGGGAACCTGATGAAGTTCAACATTAAGAAATGTAAAGTGCTGCATCTCGGGATGAGCAACCCCCAACACACCTACAGGCTTGGTGGCACCAAACGGACTAGCACCACGAATGAAAGGGACCTGGGGGTAATAGTAGACCACAGTATGAATATGAGCTGGCAGTGCGATGCTGTAGCCAACAGGGCAAATAATACTCTGGCATGCATCAATCGATGCATCTCCAGCAAAACCAGGGAGGTGATTCTTCCGCTTTTCTCAGCACTGGTGAGACCAGAGCTGGAGCACTGCGTCCAGGTTTGGGCACCGCACTTCATCAAGGACATGGACAAGCTTGAGAGAGTCCAGAGAAAAGCCACCTGCATGATCAGAGTCGTACACGGCAAGCCATACGAGGAAAGGCGGAGGGATCTGGGACTCTTCAGCCTGAGGAAAAGGGGGCTGAGAGGGGGCCTGGTACCGCTACACTAGGGGAGCACATCAAGGGCTCGGTGAGCAACTGCTCACCAGGGCACTTGAGGGGAAAACCAGGAGTAATGGCCACAAACTCCTGGAAGATTGATTCAGGCTCAACATTAGGAAAAACTTCATTGTCCAGACTGGAATAAGCTCCCTCCAGAGGTGGTGCAATTACCGACCGTGGACATCTTCAAGAGGAGACGACGGTCACCTGGCTGGGGTTGCCTGACCCCAATTATTTTTCCTGCTTGGTGCAGAGGGCTGGACCTGATCATCTTCCAAGATCTCCTCCAGCCTTACAATCAATGAATCAATGTGCACTGTAATGCACATTGGCCTATTTTAATGCACATTAAAGCATCGCTAAAAAATATGCTATTTAGTTAATACACATTAAAATAAGTTAATGCGCATTAAGCATCACTTAAAAACTGTGCTTTTTAGTTATTACGCATAAAAGGCTATAAAAGGGTGCCTATTCATGAGCACAGAAGCTGCTCTGATGTGCTGTAATTATAGCGCATCAGAGCAGACTTCATTAATTGAGTCTTCTGGGGAGTCGCAATTACCGCACACCAGCCAGCCTCCGTGTCTCGTGCATCAGCACCCCTGTGTCTCAAAATGATGGCGAAGGTGCTTGAACTAAAGCTTTAGTTTAAGCGCCCCTGCTGCCATTTCAAAGTGCTGAGATGCTGAAATGAGACGCTGCGGTGCTTTAATTTGAGCAGCTCTCAGAGCCACTTGAATTAAAGCACCCACCCCACAATCCCCGGAGCACGTGTAAAAGTCCCCAGATCATCAAAAATGCTCCTATGAGATATATATATTTTATGTACAAACTTGTATAACTGTTATTACTCTCCTTTAAAAATACTTGATGAGTCCCCTCCCATATCAACTAATCCCTTAGCTTGGCTCAAACAGTGTCAGGTTGATGGGCCCAGAGCTACCTTGATCTTTCTGTTTGCCCTTTTTTGATATCAGTATAATCTTTGTTTTCTGTCACTTCTCCAGAACTTCCCAAGTGTCCCAAGACTGAATGAAAATCACCAGTAAGGGGCCAGAAAGCCCCTGGGACCACTAATTTAAACTCTGTTTAAAATGACCTAGATAACTTGAAAATGCCTAACTTCAGAAGCTGCTAATGAACGTCCTCCAAACTGATTATTGGAGTGAAAAGTCTTTCATCATCATGCAATGATTTGTCCATCACCTATTGATATTTCACATAGAGTCATAGAAAATGAGGGCTGAAGGGACCTCAGGAGGTCACATCCAGTCCAACCCCCTGCTCCAAGCAGGACCACCCCCAACTACATCATCCCAGACAAGGCTTGGTCTACCTGGATCTTCAAAACCTCCAAGGATAGAGACTCCACCACCTCTCCAGGTAACCTGTTGCAGTGCTTCACCACCCTCCTCGTGAGAAACTTTTTCCTAATATCCAACTTAAACCTCCACATCCAGAGCAGAGACATTTCTGGCGTCTCTCCAATAACACTGGGAATTTCACCCCAGCCCATCAAGTAACGAGCTAAAGCCAGTGCTCAGATGCTACCTGTGCTAAGAAAACATTTTTATTGTTAGACCTCTAAAATAACAGTGCTTCACCCAGAGAGGCAGCCTTCCTCATTGCAGACCCTTTTAAAACCCAAAGACATCTCCAATGGCGGCGTGCAAGGAACACACAGCAGGAAATGCATGAACCTCTGTATAAAGGTCGGGAGCCCACATACATGAGAACTGTGTTCACAGAAAAAGATGCTAGCATGCTTTCAAGCCGCTCACCTCCTGCAGCACCTTTTTCTCTCTAAACATCTGTAGGCTCCCTCCTGCACAGCCAGGGCAGTATTCATTAATGGTTTCAGTCCCTAGCTTCCCCCTCATCACTGTCTGACTCTCAGGCCAGACCCGTTAGACTCTGAACTGCCCAAACACAGCCTTTGTTTCACACCCACGGTGGTGGAAGCATTATTGGAAATGATTTATACTCTGTTTGCAAGCGCGGACTACTTCGTCTGTAAAAACACACGCGTGTGCCCATTATACCGAGCCAGCATATTGCACCGTAAGCTGAGACGGGGGCAGGAGCAACTAACATGCATTTCCAACAGCTGAATTCAACCAGAGTGGCTGGGCCATGTGTCACGCTAAACGAATGCTACCGGCAGCCCATTTCCTTGCAGAGCTTTCAGTTTTCTAAATAAAAAAAGGATCGGGTTGCACCAAGCCTTGGATGTAGGAAGCAGGGAGAGAGGTGGGTTTTCTGGGAGCTGCTGTTGCTTACAGGTAGCCCACAGTTTTTTAAAAACCCTAGCTCGGGAGTTTGTGTTTCAGTCTGCGGTCGGAGGTAAGAGGCCACTGCTCACTTCCTATTTACATTTCTCCGTGGCTGCACTCCCTGTTCCCAGACCAGAATTCATTGGCAAGGGAAGGCAGACAAGGCTCTTTGGGTAGAGGTGATATCTTCACCAGCACACCCTCTCTGTGCCTGAAGAAGGGTGTTTGTGCCCAAAAGCTTGCAAAGAACAATTTTTCCAACTATTTAGTTGGTCTAATAAAAGATAGCACGTCTACCCAAAGTATGTCCTTAGACCAATATGTCTACAACCACCAACCCTGGTAAAGCAAGAGAATTGCAGAGCCCACCCTCTGGCCTGGCTGCAGCATGGCAGAGGACAGGCAACCTACTTTCTAGGCTCCACATATGTCGTGTTACACAACAGTTACGTGCCTGTGCGTGCACAGAGGTGCACGAAGGTGGCATGTGTGGATACAGTGCATTGCCTGCATGCGGGACCATGTTCAGAGCCCATGTTGCACTGAGAGGCCTAGATCCCAAGATGGGGGCAAGGGAAAACAAGCCAGGAAACCTCGAATGCTCTGGTTCGTCGGGGTGGGAGGGTCTTTGGTTCACTTTAATTCTCATTTGGCCCCTCTCACCGTAGTCCTCACAAACAGGAATGGCTCCATCTGCACAGACAGTTGCACAAATCTGGGGTGCAGGTAAGAACTGAATTGCAATGGGAGGCAGCCCATTGCCTCTGCTATGAGATAAGCCTCTGGCCTCTTGGCCCCTCTACATACGAGCTTGTCACCGTCCTGGGGTCCCACAACCATTTTTTATTTGCTGCCCTGAGGGGCTAATGCTTCTTACCTGGCAGATGTCAGCGAACCTCTGACTGCTGCCCTTCATGGGATGCTCCATGAACGTGACATACGGGATCTCTGTGGACCATGGGTTCCAGCGGGACAGGAAAGACGGTTCTTTCAGATTATCCCAGTGGATTCGCAAGCCTTCTCCCTCTCTCCTAGCGAACAAGCCAACCAGACAGAGAAACGTGCATTAGATGGGGTGACTCAACACAGGAATCTCAACCCTACTTAACCAGCAACTTTCCATAATCAAGGACAGTGCTTTAGGCAGAAGGGTGAGTGACATGAAAACCTTGGTTGTGTGAGTTTTTAATAAGGGTCTTCAGGTACAACCTGCTTGGATACCTCTTTACTTTGCAGCTTGAGAAATATATGATTCTCAAGGTGAGCAATTACACTATTAGGTGCTAAGTGTTTATAGAGCCCCAAACTGGGAGTCAGGGACTTCTGAGCCTTTCTAAAGACATGGGTGCAACCATCACTAGGGTAGACATTCCCACATTTAGCCACCCAAAAAACTATCCGATGCCACTTTATTTTAATGCAGGCAACACATATCTCCTTGCTTTGTCTCTCCTGATAGAATAATAACTAAGCCCAACCCCCAGTGATGGTAGGATCATCCCTGTCTATACCATCTCGTCCAACTTTCTGTCCAATTTTAAGGATGGAGGCTCTACAGCCGAGGCAATTTTTTCAATACTGAACTGCCCTCAGAGTGAGAAAGTTCTTCTGAATATCCACCCTAAATTCCCCTTGTTGCAATTTAAGGTCATTATTTTGTGTCCCATCCCCTGTCTCAGTTAACATTATAAAGCCATCCTCATGCTAGAAATGGCTGGACATAGTTGAAGATTCACTTTCAACACATGGATTTGGTAAGCTTCCAGTGGAGGTCTAAAGACCCCCCTCTGAAAAACTGTGGGCCCAGATCATCACCTAGAACCATCTGCACAAATGCCATGGGAATAATGTCCTTTGCCAATGAAAGCCAGTTACAAAATAAACTCTACATCCAAACCAAAGTCATACACCAGCCTGGAATATGCCCCAGTAATGTCACGTTTTAAGCACAATATTACAGTCTTCATGGCTAGAAAGCACCTGTGGGCTAGTCTACCCTACCTACATACCATGACCTCACTGGTACGTGCCCAGAAGTATATGACATCCACACCTGGATTTAGTATCCCCAGAGGGAAATAGCAGCACGGCCTACCCACTAACGCAGTCCCAAATCAATACACTGCTCTCAGTACATGCTATAGACAAATTGGAGAGTCCAGTGGAG